GAAATCATACTGAAAGTGAATTTGGAAATGGTATGTTTTTGATCATATTTTGGTGAGTGCAGACATCAGATGATCTAAGCAAACTTTGTGAAGTATTTATCATATTATGTAACTTACTGTATGAAAGATTGGATTGAAAGTGTTGAATTAATTATTCAGATGAAGTCAAATTGCATGCATAACTCTTATACAGGGAACATTCCAGTGTTTGACTTCAAGTGCCCTTACTGACAATAACACAAAACAAACTCAATTACTCCACATGACTTGAGTTACATCTTGCTTGATTCAACTTGAAATTTAGTACAGTTCACACATCCCCAGTTTTCCAAACAGTCTCAAGAAGAGAAACTGAAGTTTTGCAAAGATTCTCTATGATACAGAAAATCTGCATATGATTTTACTGCAGATTGCTGTCCAATAAAAACACTATTTTGTTACCATGGATACTATAAAAATATATGAAGTTTATGTACTCTGTGTTACCATTATGGATTCAGGAGACAGTTCCTTAGTAAAAAGGCCAATGTATGTTTTTATGAATTCTATATCACTGTAGCATTACTCTATAATAATTCAGCACCTTTCACCATCTGTATGAAAGAAAATTAAGTGTGGCACAAGCTTAGACATCGAAATTAAGAAATGCAAGTCTGTCTTTCATGCCCATATTGCAGTAATTTATGCTGGAATAAAAGCACCGATATTATGGTGACATATAGCCAAATGGTGGTTTGGTGATCATATAATCACTGTTATCATAGTGCCACTGATTTTCTTGTAGGGGGAAAAGAAATTTTGACTTTAACCCATACACGTAAGACTAAAATGAATATTTCTCAGTTTTCATTCCTAAATAAAAAAAAACTTCTGCATTTATACTTACCTACCATGATTAGTTTCTGAGGCAGAAGGTGTGATGGAGAACGACTGTGAATTATATATGTTGACTGGCCATATGGTTATAAGTTCTAGCAAAAAAAAAAAAATTAATTATGTCTATCTGAAATGTGAATGGACATCAATTCACAGACTAGGCCGCGCCATAGTTCAAGCGGTTAGTTGCTGGCTTCCCACCGTGGAGACCGGGTCTGGTCAAGTGGGATTTGTGGTGGACAAAGTGGTGCTGGGGCAGGTTTTATCTGAGTGCTTCGGTTTCCCCTGCCAATCTCCATTCCACCAATTGCTCCACAATCACCCTCACCTATCATCTGGGGCTGGTACAATAGGCCAGAAGTGGTTGCAGTACAAGGGACTTAGTCCCACCCCACTAGCATTAAAAAAAATTCACAGACTGGGCGTCGGAATGTTAACACAAGCCCCCCCCCCATCCAAAGGAAGAAAGGAAACAATGTTCTTAATATATCCGTAAAGATGCTCTATCAGTTTCTATCTCAATATTTCGTAACCTGAATAACAAATCCACTTCTACAAATATAGGCAACAAAATAGGTTACAAAGACCCATTTATTTATACGAAATAACATGTGATTCAGATTTCTAGTATGTTAGCCAGAAAAGCAGAAGTATGATAGCCATCATTTTTCTGTGACAAAAACTAGTGAAAGAGACAAATGAAAGATGTAACATACCAGACATAAAGGCAGGACACTCAGCAAATAACAAACATGCTTAACTTTCCACAAAATATCATTTTGTTCTTGTTAGTAAAGATTAATCTCATGTGCACTGTTCCTCACTGCTGGGGACACTACATTATGATACCATTTGACTAGTAAAAACTGGGTCTGCAGTATTCAGAGGACCCAACAGACAAACTCTCTCATATGACAGCAAAATCACAGGTGAGCACAGTGAACTGAGAGTGAACTGGGATCCAAACAATGGTAAGAACCTTGTTCAGTAAGTTCTAAGTTGGTCAGGGGACAGGAATGTGGGCTGACAATGGACAACTTCATGCAGATCCAACTCGGTCTCGGGCCTGAGACACCTGGCATGGTTGGCCAGATCCTCCCCCTGAGACTGAACTTGCAAGCAAGCCTTTAATAGTAGGGAAATGGCAATTATCTATGGTGGGAATGAGAGAGGAAAGAGAAGAGGAAGAAATGGCAGGATGAAAGGAAGAAATGAGAGAATAGCAAATAGGGCAAGGAAGAGGACTATAGGAATGAGAAGTATGAAGAAAGAAATAAAGAAGGAACTGAAACAGGAAGGGCAGAAGAAAAAATAGAAAGAATAAATGGAGGGACAAGAAAGATCTAGATGAATGAAAGGAAGAAGAGCGATGAAGGAATGGAGGAAGAAACTGATGGAAAAGAGAAGGCATAAGGAAAGAGAGCTGAAAGAAAAGAGGAAGGTGGAAATAAAGAGAGGAAGAAAAGAGGACATACAGAGAGAAAAAAGGGATCACATCAATTCAAGAAAGAAAAATGGAAAACATGTGGCATTTTAGATTCTCATGGTAATGACTATGAAGTTTACTGGGGTGTGACACTCTGTAGTTTGGTAAGTATATACCAACATTTCAGAGGAACCTGCTGCTTCCATCCTGAAGGTAGCAGAGTAAGCAATATTCTGTGTTGAAGATGGGGCAGCAAGTTCTGAAATGTTGGTACTCATCTACCAGATTACATGTCACATTCCATATGACAATAATCTTCCAAATGAGTTTTTAAAAATTCGCTAAGTGGAGGGTGGAGTCCAACGGCATCTACTCAGCACGGCGGCCACTGATTGGCCCATGGTAGCCTGCCCCGGGTGATTATGATGATGGAGAATTTGGTGGAATGAAGACTGGCAGGGGAAACTGAAGTAATCTGAGAAAACCCGCCCCAGCGCCACTTTGTCCACCACAAATCCCACTTGACCAGACCTGGGATGTAACCCGGGCCACCGCGGTGGGAAGCCAGTGATTAACCACTTAAGCTATGGTGCAGCCTACTCCAAATGAGTTTAGTGAGAAGAAAATCACGAGAGTGTTGTATAATGTAACATATTTTATATAGTAAATTAAATAAGGAAAACGTTGTAAAACCAAGTGTTTTAACGTGCATAATTGTAAGAAGGAATCACATAATAGTAAAGTCACGATTAAAAATAGTATTCCTTGGGTTCTGTCATGTCTTATAAGAAACTGTTTTACATTCAGGAAGAAAGTGAAGGATATACTGAAAGATGCAAAAGCATTTTTGACAGATGAACAGAGGAAGAGAAGAAGACGTATGGAGGACAAGGAGGATCAGATGACCGTAGTCAGGATAACAACACTCTGACTGCAAGGAATGTTGTACCATCCCCCGAAGAATGCAGGTTTGAGATGAAGCAGTATAAAGGTGAAGAAAGCATTTACAAATGGCCAGATGCACCTCTTTCTGTCATGGCTTATGAGGAACCAACGTTTTCCATTCAGGGAGAAAGTGAAGGATATACTGAAAGATGTAAAAAGCATTTTTGACAGATGGACAGAGGAAGAGAAGAAGAGGTATGGATGACAAGGAGGATCAGATGACCATAGTCAGAATAACAACACTCTGACTGCCTGGAACATCATACCATCCCCTGAAAGTTGCAGGTCTGAGATGAAGCAGTATGAAGGTGATGAAAGCATTTACAAATGGCCAGATGTACTTCATTCTTGTTTTGAGAACAAAAATATTCCAGACTACCTCAGAAATCCCCATAAATAGATTAAGTATAGCTTAGAGGATGTATCTGAGGAGGATGTGTCTGACGAAACAAACACAGTAGCAGCTTTATCATTTCTGAAAGAACTGGAGGAATTTAAGAGGCACAAAGAAATGGAAGCCAGTGACAGTGCACCAAATCAGATCATTCTGCAAGAAATGGAGGAACGTAAGAAGCACCAAGAAATGGAAGTCGATGAGGGTGGGAATACCATACCAAACACCCACACACCATCAAACCTGCACAACACCATAAACCCGTCTTTGAGCCTCACATACCGGGCTTACCACGTAGAACCTCTGCAACAAGACCCATGCAACACACACGCCCAACTTCCACACTGTAGCAGGATACACCCTTAAAATAAAATATTAATTAATTAAATTAAATAAGAATTTTAATAAGATAGGAAGAATAAGCTAAGCACCAAGCACTTGCTTGGTTTACTCCTCAGCTTTGAGGGTGGAACTTATATGTTCCTCTGGAGGGTCAGTAAACTTCTACCAACATGTAATATGTAGGAAATATGCTACTGTCAACATAACAGGTATTTCAGTTATTACATTGGATCTTTGTTACTGCGGCATGTTTCAGTCATGCATGACCATCATCAGGCAGGAATACATATAGTTATTGAAATCCCAGAAGAACCTTATCAGTGTAACGTGTCATGTTGACTATTGACATAAAATCTTTGCTTCAGATTGGTGTATAGTTAAAATGGTAAGTGCATGATTAAAAGAATAAAAAATGTGAAAAAGATAGAATAAGGGTATACTATATATATAAAATGTTGAAATAGTATTAAAACATATTGGAGATTTGTTAGAAGTGTATAAAATATATTAAAGGGTATTAGGGGTATATGTAGGTGGGTTGGGGGTCTGTATGCCAACTGGAACATTTTATTTTAAGAGTGGATCCTGCTACAGTGTGGAAGTTGGGTGTGTGTGTTGTGTGGGTCTTGTTGCGGAGGTTCTACATGGTAAGCCCGGTATGTGAGGCTCAAAGACGGGTTTTCGGTGATGTGCAGGTTTGATGGTGTGTGGGTGTTTGGCACGGTATTCCCATGCTATATATCATATACAGCAATGTGGCTTATGTTTCTTGTCTGGGCGTATACATGTTCTGTGTGTACGGTGTGTTCTACACTGTGCAGTGGTTCGACGTAGAGCCACGATGGGAATATAAAATTGTAGCATGAAATGTGAACTTGTTAGAGAAAATGAAATGGGCCGCTCTATAGCTCAACTGGTTAGTCACAGGCTTCCCACCGCAGCAGCCCAGGTTCCCCTGCCAATCTTCATTCCACCAATTGCTCCACAATCACCCTCACCTATCATCTGGGGCTGGTACAAATAGGCCAGAAGTGGCCGCAGTACAAAGGACATAGTCCCACCCCACTAGCAATAAAAAAAAAAATTGGGGAGAAGAAAGAATAACAGGCGTGAATGAAGCAGTGCAGGCATTTCGTCTGTCTAGTACAGAGTTCTGTATGAAGGGTCTGAAACGTCCACATGCCAAGACAAACAGAATTTGTGACACAAAGAATGGCATATCACTGACATAGCTTACATTAATAAGCATGTTAGCAATTTCCAACACTTTAAACACTTATCTGCAATATCCTTTCTTCATCAGAATATGTATGGCCAATGTTAAATATTTCACAACAATGCATAATATTCACTGGGTTAATATGTGGACAAAGCAATAAAGGGATTAGGAAGAAAAGGACACAACTCCATTACACAGAGTCCATGTCTTGTTGAATGGTCAGTCTCAGCCAACATTTTTCTTTTCAAACAAGGCACAGCTGTTGACCAACTGATAGCATGACACTCCAGCCTACTCCGAGAAAGTGGCTGGGCCCTCGTAAGTACAGCCAGACTGCTGGATGATCTCTGTGGCAGCCCAGATCCCACATCGGATACAAGTCTCTAAAGGTTTGCCCATTACGAGTTGTGCAAGAAACCCTGTAAATATAACATTTTCAGTACAATGAGAATGAGATAAGCAAATGAGAGATTTGCGGCTCTCTCAGTGGCAAACAATAAGATTGCAGTTTTTTCTTTGGATGAGATGTCATGCAGTAAGGTAGACAGGTATTGGCCTTTTGGAGAAATCCGCTGCCTCCATCTTAGGAGAGAAGAAGTGGGAAGACGTCATATTATAGTGTAACGTGTTTTGCCACTGAACACGACGTTCGGATTGTTAATTGGTTTATTTAACAACCTACAAGTCTTGGCTACAATTAATTACAATACTGTTATGGGTTCATACAATTTACAAACCCTACACACTATTCTGTCCACTCTGTCCTCAGTAGTCTACACGTATTCACAGTACGATATGGGAGCTATAGCAGTGTCACTGTATCACACTCCCAATTACTTCTCTTGTGAGTCAAGCATCTGCTTCTCACACTATCACTTATAATCACACGTTCCGGTATGCTTCTTTCTGCTACAACTGATCTCGGTGACTGTTCCATCCACACTGTGTCACTCCTGCTCACACACTAACTACTCTCTCCCTACTGACTGCTCAGCCAGCTTTTTATACCATTCGCTGTTGCCTGTTGCCCGTGTCAACAGCGTCGTCGCAGGGTAGGGGGTGGAACTAAGACTGGCCTGCAACCGCAGCAGCAAGAGTGCTCATTGCTGCCATGTCACTGCTGGGGAGGGAGGGGGTGTCCTCCATAGCGCAACACGTCACAATAGTATTACCTCTCTCACATTCTCTTCTTCAAGGTTTTCCTACTGAAGTTCTGTATCCATTTTTCATTTCCACCATACATGTTACATGTAATACCCATATAACCCTTACTGACCTAAGCACCTTGACAATATTACATCAAGAGAAAAAATTATAAAGCTGCTCATTATGTAAATTTTTAAGAGGTGGCACACATTTTGTACTCTGAGGATAAGAAGAGTATGTTCATTCAAAACAGTGGTACTAAACTACATATACATGGAATCATATCCCAACAGATAGTACTGATATATGTAATGAAATTAAATGGAGACCCCCTAAAATATGCAGGTATGAAAACACAACTAGGTGGCTTAGCACAGACAGTGGCAGTCATTTAAGTCACTTTGAGCCCCTGACTACTAGTAAAATTAAGTGATCAGGCATGTGCCACTATGCTTGCCACAATCTGATCTGGTATACACTTTGAGTGTGACTGCCTATTACATATAAAGCTTAATATATTCAACATATATACATACTTGTATTTACAAATGAATATGTGTATGAAAAAAAGCAGACAAACATGTTTCAATGAAAACATGCATATCCACATGGTATCAAATCAATACAGAAATATTTCCAAAATAATATTCATTAGATGTGAACTCACCCCCAGCAAAGGCATCTCCAGCTCCGTTAGTATCTACAATTTTCTCCGGCAGTAATTTGATAACAGGGAATTCATTCACTATACCATCTGAAACAAACATTTGAGAATACAGCATTAAATTAACTTACTGTCATGATTTAGGGGTGAGTGACTAGAGACGAGGTTTTGGATTATCGGATTTATCGATCTCTTACAGGTCATACTACAAACAACTATAACACTATTGCTATTTCCACACTTTACAGTTCACTGTTACACACATTAGTGTCCTCAGGCTATTACAGTCTCCACTATCAATTTCCTGGCAGCGGATTTTAACGCAGGCGTTATAACACTCTCACTGAATTACACACTCCAAATATCACTGTACTACACACGCACATAAAGTTCTTCATGGCCTGAGTGCCAAATGAACTCACAGTGCCATCTTCTCAGCTCTCCTTGCAGCTCAACTCTCGACTAATTGCCCACTCACAACTCTGGAATGTGACTGCTGATTCTCAACTGAACTCTTCTTTATAACCACTTTGCACAGACCAAATATAAAACATCTACTGCTGCTTCCATATCCATTGCCGCAGAAACTTGTTTACCAAGCCACTGCCTAGCAATGGATATCTCCTCTGGCTCTACTATTCCAGCCTTCAGGTGTCATGTCACATTAGGTTAAGGTAGGAGGATATATCACCATCCTCTCCTTTCAAAACTTACATGCCAGCTCAGCAGAATAACTAACGACTCTCGAACAGTGCTATGGCTATAACTTAAGCAACATCACTGTTTAGATGGTATTCTTGGACGTGACATTTATCTACAAAACTACACGGTGTCACAACCTAGAAGACCACATTCTTGATACTCACTGCCATGAGAACCCAAAATATAACAGCCACTTTTCTAACCTTCATTGTTCACTTAATCCATCTGTTAATCCACTGATCCATACAGCTCAAGTGGCAGCCCGGTTTGTAAGTTATTTAACAACACCGTTTCAACTACAAAGGTTAGATATATTATGGAATATGATGGTGAAGATGATAATAGATGGCGAATATGTTAAGCATTTAGAAAAATCTTCACTGTTTGCATCCTGTTGTGTATCATGATTGATGGGATTTGGCCGTCAACACAACAGAAATAAAAATAAACCAACTGAACTGCTCACATTGATCTTATCTGATGGCTGTTACATGTTTCAGTCTGCTTCTGGGGCCATCTTCAGGCAGTCTTATCAAATACGTCTCTTTGTTATTTAAAGGAAAAAGAAACAAGAGAAGATAGTAACAGTTTATCTGAAGGCACCATCCTTGCATTCATCTGGAAAGACTGAGGAAAACCATGAAAAAAAAAAAAAGCGGGTAGCTCAGCTGAGATTCAAACTAAGCACTTCCCAAATACAAGACTATACCATTATCACTATAGTAACCTGCTCAAGAGGTACAAGTGGTTGAAACTGTGGTAGAAAGACTCAACAAGTGTTCAGCTCGTGCAAGCAGCAAGGAAATGCTAGGACGGCGTAAAGATGAAAAGTTTCAACAGGAAGTGGGTGACGGTGGTGATGATGACACAGCAGTAAGAGCATCATCAGCACCAACAGCAACAAACCACAGATTATTTTTTTTTCCTTTTTTTATTATTGCTAGTGGGGTGGGACTAAGTCCCTTGTGCTGCAGCTACTTCTGGCCTACTGTACCAGCCCCCCCCCCCAGATGACAGGTGAGAGTGATTGTGGAGCAATTGGTGGAATGAATATCGGTAGGGAAAACCGAAGTACTCGGAGAAAACCTGCCCCAGTGCCACTTTGTCCACCACAAATCCCACTTCACCAGACCCAGGATAGAACCCCGGCCGCCGCGGTGGGAAGCCAGCGACTAACCGCTTGAGGTATGGTTTGGCCTCAGCCACAGATTAAGTGTACACAGAAATATGCATTTCTTTCATTCAATCAGTGATTTCTCATGCAATGTCTTCAGAAGGTTAAAATTAATCTTACAAGTGTTTTAATGACAATATTTATGAAATGCATTAGAACAGTGAAAACCATCTATCACTACCCCAACAATTCCCAAAAAAGGATAATCTGTAAATAATATGTTCTATAAGAAATGAACTGTGAAATTCTTCAAGTCATAAACTGTGAGAGCTCATCTTAAGAGAATGCTTATCAACAGTACAAGACATGTAGTACTTTGGCTGATATGCTGTTTATGACAGTAAAATTGTCCTTGAACTTAGATGAAAGGGCTTCAAACTGTTACAAACAAAAACACATCTTGAACTCTATCAAACTTTGTCTATTCAGAATCTTTCAGTATTTTTCATTCAGATGTAAAGAATTCTGTTACCTCAAATTCTTCAGATTCTGTTACCTTTAGCAAGGAGAACTGGATTCGGTCCATGTGTAATAATTGCGATCCTTGGCCTTTTGGAGTTCTTCTTTGGCAACTGTGTTATTTTCAGTGCTATCTCCATAAGGTCATCTGTTCCGAAGCCTTGTGCCCTTGCAAATGCTGCTGCTTCCTATGCAATAGAACAGATTTATTTAAAACCAAGATGGAAATTTATTTAAAATCACAATGAATGGAAGAAGTGTAAATTTATTTGTTGTTTTACAGTGGTATTAACCTTGGCCTTTCACCTTATGGAAGAACACAGACTGTGGGATTTTGAGTACAAGAAATGGCAGAGGATATTTGGACCTAGGAGGCAGGAAGTATCAGGTGCATGCAGAAAGTTATGTAATGAGATGCTCAACAACTTCTGCTCTTCAACAAACATCATTATGGTTACTGAACAAAGGATGAGATGGATTTGACATGAAGTCACATGAGGGCAGCAAGAAATGCACATAAAATTTTAGTCTGGAATCTGAAGGGGAGAAACCACTTGGATGATATATGTGTAAATGGGATGATAAAAATAAAACATATCTTAAAGAAAGAGTGTGAAGACATGGACTGGACTGAAGTCACTCAGGACAGTCCAATAATGGGCTCTTGCGAAGAGAGTATGGGAACATCATGTTTCATACAATGCAGGGAATTTCCTGACAAGCTGAATGAATATCAGCTTCTCAAGGACTAAACTATGGGTGAAACCACTGAGGAATTGGGGTTCAATTCTCAGCAGGGCCAAGAGATTCTTCTCATCTCTATAGCATTCAGACGGGCTCTGGGGACCATCCAGTCTCTAATATAATAGGTACAGGGAATTGTTTCCCCTGGGGTAAAGCAGCAGGGGCGTGAAGTTTAACGATCACCTCTGCATAATGCCAAGGTTACAAATAGTGGAACTATAGCTCTACTTCTTCATATGTCTTCGTGGCATAGCGTTTAATTAATTAAGCTGTTACATACAACATTTGAAGAGATATAAGGTATAATCATTTTCCTCCAAAGGTAATATGATACATGAACTGTGTGCTCAATTCCATTATGTAATTTATTAGAATGTACTACCAAAAATGTTATTTAATTAAATCAGTTTTTGGCCTAAACTGCCACAAAATAGAAAAATACAATTAAATTTTGATGAAATATTTCCAGAAATGTTTAATACAGTGATAACTGTTTACTGAGTTTTAGAAATTATTCAATATATCTTTTACTGCAATGTATAACAACACTTTCATTCAATTTAACTTCATAAGAAAAGGCCACGCCATAGCTCAAGTGGTTAGTAGTTGGCTTCCCAAAACGGCAGCCCGAGTTTGATCCTAGGTCTGGTCAAGTGGGATTTGTGATGGACAGAGTGGCACTAGGGTGGGTTTTCTGTGAGTACAAGTACTTCAGTTTCCCCTGCCAATCTTCATTCCACCAAATTCTCCATCATCATAATCACCTGGGGCAGACTACAATAGTCCAAGCAGTAACCGCCGTGCTGAGTGGACCCAGTTGGACTCCAACCCCCACTAAGCGAAAAAACTTCATAACATTGTGATTCACACTGCATTTTGGAAATATATAAGGTATATTTATAAAACCCTATACAATGTTTAATTTTTTTTTTCCATTACACTCACAGTTTCATTCCCAATGAGGATATCCACATATGGCATTGCCTGCATCATCGGTTCCTTAAAAAACTGAGACAGGAATGGAGCACTGAGATTCATCATGAATGGACAGTCGTGTTTCAGAGCATGATTTGCAACTTCCATAATGGATGGTGGACTCACCGTAAGGAAGAAACCCTGAACAAACAGAAAATCTTCATGAAATTTGAAGTTTTCATGATAGTGAATAAGATTACTGTCTCTTGTGATGAGCTGCCATGGGAACAAAAATCCCCATACCAGAGATCTTGCTGAACCCATAGAACTTTTCTGTCATAATGTTACCCATTCTAGATACATGTTCTCAAGGATGTTTTAGACACACTCCATCACCAACGTCAAGATTGAGTGGATGGTTACTTCCATGCACACTACACACCCTCATGGAATGATCTTAGGCAAAAATTTGCTGTTTACTTTTACCCAACTCAAAAGTGTCCCTCATAATAATACTAACCCTTTATGGCACAGTGATTCCTATATGCATCACCTGTTTTAACATTTAAAATAAATCTGCACTTTGGCCCCAGGGTGTATTTATGCGTTTTGTACGACTCTTGGAATACATAGCTATTAGTTCCCTAAACAATACAAATATGCAGTCTCTCTACTAGACACACAGTATATTTTCTGTACTGCAGGAACTGCATTTTTAAACATTATTTACATGTTTTTCAGGCTTCAAATGGTTAAATGGAGACTTCCATGACAGGCAATTTTGTTTAACCATCTACAGCCAGACTCTAAAAGCTGAAACACTTATGTAAGAGAAAATATATAATATGAATAGGTATGACAACATATTTACCCTAGTAACATTACTATCAGTCTTATCAAACTTTCCCACAGTGATATAAGCACACATCAACTATGAATTATGTACATGATGAGTAAGCATTTCAGCATATTGATAAGATAAGCAGTTGTTTATAGAAACAAATGCAACACACGACCTCGCCAACAAATAATGTGTATTTAGAATTACATGATTTATAAATATTCTAGCAGATGGTGCCACAGCATTGATTCACTCAAAGATTATTTACTCATGCTGTATTAACTGGTTGGGTTAATACAGTGTTGAATAAGAGGAGATGATCATGAATTGTGGAATGTGTAAGAATAATTGTATGAGACAGTTATGGCACACTTGAAAGTATTACCTTTACATCTACTGTACAGATGAAGGAAAACCATTAAAAGAAATCACGAGGGTCAGTAACCAGCATGCCTAGTATCTGCATCCCATCCAAAGGAACATTTTGTGTGTGTTCCTAATCCCATGGAGTGCCTATTAAATTCACTCTGTCTACACACATGAAACAACATAAGAACTGCCTCAAGGATATTGTGGCAAGTAAACCCACTGCTAGGCAATGACCGTGAAATGAGCAACTATACAATAGCCATTTCTAAGTCATGGCTCCGTAAACAAGCATGCTTCCACGGCAACATGAGAACAGAGCAAAAATAAATGGAAGAGATGTTTTCTGTATGGTCCATGCCAAGACATCACAAGCAGGACCAGTTAACAGTTGGAGTCAGACAGAGAACTGCTGCAGTGCAGTCACTGTAATCTGTTGCTGTTAGAAGCTGGTAGCTCAGGCTGCAGACAGTTTGGAACCCAGAGAAAGGGGAACATCTTCCACTGAAAGCCACTACCAAGCAACAGCAGAGAAGACATGACTGCGTACACTAGTGTGTAATAGTGAACTGTAAATTGTGGTCACATGCTGTATCAAAGTGTCTAATAAATCGAGTCATTAATATGAAACCTGTCTATAGTCATACACTATATCACACGACAATATTCACTACATCTGATATCGATGAGTGTAAATAACATATGTGAACATATTAAACATTAATTATAAACATTAAACATTATAATTTTGGTTAAAATCAGGAAAAAGTAATGAACATTTCATATGAAGACCTACAATGAATGACACTGACTTTGTCTCCAGTTCACAAGTTTGTATGATTGCCAAGTTGAGATTCTTAAGGACAGGGAGTTAAAATCTGTATGGTGAGGCTCCCAATTGTAAGATGTTTACATACTGAGTTTCACCAAAATGTTCTATCTTATGGATGTCCAAAACTGAAGTCAAGGATTGACAGAAAAATGTAGCTGACTGATGTGGTTCCAAAGAGTAAACTGTTATACCATCATAAACAAAACAAAACATTCCGTGGCCTGTACTATACTATACCGACTGAGAGAGTCTGAGGATAGAGGGTGTTACGTGGTCAGTGCAATGGATCACCATGGCCGTTAAGCTCTGTTTTCTAGACAGGAGCCACTATTTCCTTGAAATAGCTCCTCAATAATCCTCACAAGGCTGAGTGGATCCTGTTTTTATACCATCATATTATACTTATAAGCAAAACTGTGGACAAAAACACTACAAAATCATGCTGTAAAATAAGTGCATAAATTAAATTGCATTAAAATGCAGAAGTAAGAATGAGTTATCAAATTGATTTAACCCCCCCCCCTCAAAAAAAAATCCACACACTTTTTGCTCTAAAAATGGTATAAGAATGTATATGAATAAGTATTTACAAATACCTATTAACCAAATGTATAATCAACAAATGTAATGTCATAGTATGACCCCATAAGGAACTAAAATAACCCATTAGAAGAATGTATATACATTCCAACTCACAGAAATATAGAAGAATTTCGCGTTTTCTATGTACAGTTTGTTTTCTGGTTTGTGTATGTGATCGATCGTAAAACAGTTGGCTGCTGCAAGATTAGCACAGAGTGAGCGATCATTACCATTATTGGTGACAAGTACAGCACATGTTCCTGGAAACAGAACCACAACACATACCGTATCAGCATTAATCACATTGAATATTCCCCATGTTCTGCAACTTCACATTCTAGGGCATCATACAAACATAAGCCACCCCAGTTTAACATATCAAGCATTCCTGCCAAGAAAGTGCTAAGTGAATTCTGCATTCACCACAGATGCTCTGACATGTGCTATCAGGTTATGGGCAACAAACCCCAAACATGCAAAAAATTTTAACTCACAAAATATTAATATAGGCACATATACAGGTCGGATAAAAAGTAGTGGGAACACCTCTATAGTTCTGAAATGACTTTATTACCCGAGGTAAACACACTTACATTCCTTCAATATAATCGCCGCCCATGTGCTACCAAATTTTTGGAAGGTGTCGTACACCATCAGCGCGTCCACTTCTGTTGAGGTCCAGCAGTGACCGCCCTACAGCACGAATAATCTCCTCTCTTGTGTTGTAACGTGTTCCTTGCAATGGTTCTTTCATTTTGGCAAAGAGAACATAATTGCACAGACTCATATTGGGTGAGTATGGCGGATGTTGCAGTATCTGCCATTGCCAGCAGCGAAGAAGATCCTTGACAGTGTCAGCTGTCAGTGACAGTATGAACCCTTGCATTGAAGGATGATGGGGTTCATTGCCAACAAGTGTCATTGCTTTCTCCTGAGTGCTGGACGAAGATGAGTATGCAGGAAATTGCAGTAGTAGGCAACGTTTACTGTCTGTCGTTGAGGTACAGTATGGTGCAGTATCACTCCATCAGTGTCAATGCCACAATGAACATCGCTTTCACATTACTCTGTGTAAGGCGCACTTTCTTTGGACAAGGAGAGCAAGGCTGCTTCCATCATTTGATTGTCGCTTCAAGTGCGGTTCGTATGAGCGAGCCCAAGTTTCGTCCTGAGTGATGATCCTTCCAAGGAAGTCGTCACCTTCCCTCTGGTACTGGTCCAACAGGTCCTGTACAATTGCATAACATCGCTATTGTTGGACCTCAGACATTGTATGGGTACCCAATGCGCTGCAATTTTGTGATATCCAAAAACATCATGCAGAATGTGGAGCACGGGTTTGTGACATATGCCTACCTCAGCAGCTAACTCCTTTGCAGCCCATCGACGATCGACATCCAGCAAAGAACCAAGAAGCTGCATTGTGTGGTTGTCAACATGGAGTCGTCCTGAACAGCATCCCTCCCTTCACGGAACAATTTCACCAATGGTGCCACTGTGCGATATGGCAAAGCAGCATCACCACATGCTTCTTGCAGTTCCTCATAAGAGTTTTGTGAACTACGACCTCATGCAACTTCAATTTTTATCCAGAAGCGTTGTTGTTGTTTTGTAAACATGATGTTAGAGTGCTTGAACTGGGCTCCTACACTTCAAGACGATGCACAATGCAACCCAATGAAACACAACCAGAGCCACTCACTGCACTACTTCAACTGAACTTCTGCTATCACCTACAGATAGCACGAGTGCCACATGACACACATCTTTCATGTAACAGCAGTGTTGCCACTACTTTTTATCCAACCCTTGTATAATAATAAATTTGTCACCTGAATTAAAACTTTTTGGTCATAACTTTCATAATTCTTGTTACTTTTACCTGGCCATTTTGGCACAGTCACAACATTAAATTTAATAAGGACTTTAACGCAGATATCACTTTACAGCACAGAGAAGATGTGAACAAAGATGACGGCAAGGATGCTGCTTACTTACTACAGGCAAGGATTGTCTGCATGTGCTGATCAGTTTCTTTGCTTCTCACTCCCGTTCAGACAGTTAATCATCATGGGCAGACTGATTCACTAGTTTTTTTTATGTTTATGACCTGCATTTACACTGTATATGGGAAAATTAGATAAAACAAGAAGTTTGGGGAAGAAATAATCACCTACTTTCCTTTGATATGGCATGGACTGCACAGAAAACAATGTCTTCAAGAATTCTTTGTTGTACCTAGCAACGATAGGGGGATACACAGACCCACAGGCACACATGCCAACGATTCTTCTAATGTTGCTGTATTCATTGCCATGGGAATGTACTTACTGAGCCATTGCCTAGCAACAACAGGAGAGATACATTTTACTGAGCCTTTGCCTAGTAACAATGCGGAGAGATACAGATACTGATAAACACACTGATGGGAGGGATTTAAGAATTACACTACTGATATGGGCAAAGTTGCCATGACATACATATCAAGTTGTATAAAGACTGGTTATGAGGGGGGGATTTACAGATACAGAGACAGGATGGAGATCACATAAGCCTACTTTCACTTCTTCAAAATAAGGAAAGTACACTAAAAATTGAGTAATTTTACACTACATCATAATGAATCTGTGTTGGATGGGGTGCATTAAGCTGGTGACCACAAATATCTTGTTGGACACTTTCCACTGTCTGAGATATATCTAACATACAAAGTATCTTAAAAATCAGATCCATTTGTCATCAGTTGTTGGAGAAAATATTTGTACTCAGTTGGGATAGTTAGATCAATCACTGGGCAGCTCTTCCTAATAAGTCCAACTCTACCCCATACACCTGGTGATTAAAGCTGACCGAATTCTGGAAATGTTGTGTACATCAGATTAACTTGAAGCAATGGTCAGTGTTCGATAAAAAGTTCATACAATGAATCAATCACGTCACAGACCTTCAAAGAAGAATTAAAGGATAACCAACCTGTAGGTTCCTTGTCGGTGTATTGAAATTGTACGTTCACTCCATCACTTCTTGTTTTCTCTTCCATGATTTTGCTGTACTTGTCTCGACCAACACAACCCATGAATACAGTTACATTTTGCCGTTTCAAAATCCACTGAGAAAACAGGAACAAACCATTACTTCAAAAGACAGGATCATATATATGGTCATATATAGCTGAAACATGTTGGTAAGGCAAAGCGAAAGCTGTCCCTGTGCTTAACTAATTAAGCACTATGCCATAAAGGTGTATGAGGGAGTGGGTGTATAGATCCACATGTTCAATTTAATGTAAATAGTACATCAGCAATAATGGCCTCTACTAAATATACTGAAGGCTGTTAAAGAACCACATGCCAAGAATATTCAGAACTAAGAGGAAATAACAGGCTGAGAAACTTATATACTGAAGAGCTTCAAAATGCATACTACTAACCAAATGATGGATGGTAATGTGGGAGGAACATGTAACATGCATGGCAGAAAACAGAAATGCATACAATGCCTTAGTCAGAAAATCTAAAGGAAGACTTTGTTATAGATGTGAGAACAGCATTAAGATGGGTTATATATATTGATAAGGGTATTGTGAATAGGGTAACAAACTTTTCGATCCCATAAACCTCCAGAAATTTAACTAGCTAGGAGACTACAACCTTCTCAACAAAAGTTCTGCTCCATGGAATTCGTAGCTCTTCTTGTGGAAATCATGCAAATACAAACAATTTACCTGCGCCACTCTCAAGGCATTCAGTGTTGCACCGCCGGGAATGTATTCCACGTTGTACTTCTCAACCATTTCATCGTACAGAGGCTTATGTTTCTCTTCTGCTAAAATAGCATTATTAGGTTTCATGCCATACTTCGGCAGAAAATCTACACTAACATTTGCGGAAATGTCAAGGAGTGGATTGCCCAATCCTACCACCAATCCATCACTGACAAAAACAAGGAATAATTACATTACAACAACTTTTGTATTCATAACCTCACAAACACAAACAGTACTTGGATTCATGTAAGAGTGCACCAAACCCTATTAACACCACGGTCAAAATCACACCTACATTTCAATATTTTTTTACTTTAGCATTAATTAGCATATTAATTTACCGTAACGCTCCCTCCATTGTAAACACTTTTCTACTATTCAAAAATGCAAACTGCTGCCGGTGATTGCTAGAACTCAACTGTCTCGATTCAGCTGAGTCTGAGACTCCTTTTACGGCCGACGGTCAGTCGACCAGTCTGTCTTCGCATAAAGCACCCATCTGGGGCTTGCGACGAGATCTTTATTACTGTTTGACAGTTACGGTCTTGTTTTTTTGTGGGCGCCCTGTCTGACGAGAGGATGGGTCTGCCTTTTGTATATGCTGCTGGTCCTTGCTAGCGCAGTCTTTCTCGGGTCCGAGACCTTTAGTACTAGAGGTCATATATTACTGTCTCAAATTTGAGACTTCCCTTTTCGTCGCCTCCTACAACTCGCAGGGTCACGGTTGGGGTATTCGAAACCGCCTACACCTCCTTCCAGGCTTCGATTTCTCGTGTTCTATGCTCGTTAACAATGGAAATGCATTATTCCCGCTGTTTCAACAATTCGTTGCCACGGTTATTCCTAGCCACCGGTCTGATGGTATTCGATTTGTCGCTGTGGGAACTAAAAAAATTCCACTGTTGCTGTTGCGCAGCGATGGACGACATATAACAGGTTACAATATTTTAGATTTTAGAAACACACATCTCAACATCACGTTCGACGGTTCCTTGCAATGTTGAAAAAAGTCTGATTTATGGGTCCTTTCTACTTTCAAAGTTATTGTCCCTGCTCCATATACAGGGCCTTGCGGTGCCCTCTACGCCCTCTACGGCAAGTTACATTTCCGCGATCAAAAGCTTCCCAATATTCCCTTCAAGGTGGCAGCACATACCTACTTGTATTTCCATCTATAAGAAACTGCGTGTACTACTACTCGATACATGCATGGGATTTTGAATTTTCCTCTAGTTTAATTATTCCTGCTACTCATTTCTGTCAGAGGCTGAGTCGACCCCAGGGCCATAGTTCGGCTGGAAGGATTAGATCGTGTGAAAAAAATCCAATGACCTCATCGGGACTTTTACCCGCGACCTTCCGGCTTGTAGCATAGTGCTTCAACAAATTATGCTACCGCGTGCCCCCGGGAATATTCGTGGTAAAGGGCGGCCGGCGCGTAAGGCTGACAACCTTGCCTCCATCTATGAGCCGATTGTCTAGAAAATGTGGTAACCTCAACATCTCTCAACCCTATGGGCCTCCATGGCCTGTTAAAGGGATACCTTTACTTACTTCTTTTAATTTAATTATGGCATTTAGAATTTTCCTTCTGATTAATTTATGTTAACATTTTTAATTTACAGGCTTAAACTGCTTTTTACATAACCGAAGTTGGAATCAATGTATCTGTGGCATACCGAAAGTTTCTGGCTGCTGTAGAGGAATTTTAAAATGCATTCCTGTTAGGTTAGCCACTCCAAAGTTTTGGGCCCGTCTCTCCAGCTAATATGGATTTGATTTCCTCCGCACTTAAGACTGTATGGATATATTTACATTGCAGTTTCAGTTGTGGCCACATTAGTATTTTAGATGTCATGCTTATAAACTATAGCGTCGCCATTACATTAACTTTGCCACTGTCTGAGCATTACACAACTCGATTAAACTCTCAATAAAATTATAAAAGATAAAACAATTCCATCAAGTGTGACTGGTGAAGCTTTTCTTATTTCAATTCAACAGTAAAAACAACACAGCGTGCCACGAACAACTATAGGACGACATCAAAGAACCATCTTCTGAAGAAAGACAGGCAGTACAAGTTCGGCCCCCGTCAAGAGAAGTGATAAGAGATAAGACATGAATCGATTTGGTTTATAAATTCTAACTTAAATAACAAAAGTTAAAAAAAAATAACATATCAAGACAGCCGCTGTAGTTGTGAAAACTTTGGAATTTGTATCCATTTGTGTACTGTCAACATTGTATGTATATTTTAACATTCAGAACACCCATTGTAATAGTGGTTTCCAAACTGTATCGATGTCCCTCTGATGATGGTCTCTTAAGGACTGAAACATGTAAGGGCATGAAGAATTGAAATAAGAAAAACTTCACCACTCACAATGGATGGAATTGTTTTATAATATTGTTAGTGTGACGGACCAGAATGAAACAAATCAAATTCTCAATAAAAGTCTGAAGAAGTGTGTGAAACTATTGAGAAAATATAATCTTCTACACCGTGGGAGTGCAAGGCAACTGTGCCCACTGAAGTTCCATTACATAATCTAAACTGGGTATATGGAGGGGGGAAATATGCTACAGATAAAAATTACTTAAAAGTAGTTCTTATATCCTTCATATTCTAGTGCAATAAATGAAAATAACCATACACAGCTTAAACTTCAGTTTGTTGGCACATCTCTTCTGCATTTTTATGGTATGACTGGCAACTTCTGCAACAATTCAGTTCACTACATTAGAAAATAGATGGCTCACAACCAAGAAATAGTTTCCAAAAACTCCTGTAATACATTCTTGGATATAATGTATTTGTACAAAATGACTTACTACACATACAGTTTGGCAATAATATTGTTTTCCTAAACGTTTCACAGAACTGTTTCTATCACTTGAGATACATATGCAAAATATAATTTTCTTACTTTCATAGGTTAGAAAACATAATTTCAGTTCTTTAAATGAATATGTGGTCTGTCCAAAAAGAAATTGAACTTTTTTTTTTAAAACGTTTATTGATAAGCTTACAACTTAATAAGATTTGTCTCCTTCAAAGTACTCCCCTCCACTGTTTATACACTGCTTCCGTTTCTTTTTTCCAGTTCTGGAACGAGTTTTACGGGATATCGCATAGGTCTCGTAGCAATTTTTCTTCTAGTTCTTCTATCGTCTGAAATCGGCAGCCTATTGCAGTGGACTTCAACTTTGGGAACAAAAATAGTCTGCAGGGGCCAGATCTGGAGAGTAGGGTGGTTGGGGGACAACAGTCTTCTCGTGCTTCGCCAAAAATTCACGGATGAGGAGCGACGTGTGAGCAGGTGTGTTGTCGTGGTGCAGCATCCAGACCTTGTTTCTCCACCCCTCCGGCCTCTTCCTTCGCTTTGCCTCCCTCAAACGCTTCTTGACCTCTTAAGTAAAACTGTCCATTGACTGTCTGATCACGTGGAACAAACTCATGATGAACGGTGCCCTTCCTATAAAAAAGATCAACAACGCCTTCACATTTGATCGACTCTTGATGTGCTTTTTTTGGTCGCGACGATTTTCCCACTCATTGCGACAACTGAGCCTTTGTTTCGATACCGTACCTGTACACCCACGTTTCATCACATGTTACGACATTTTTCAGAAAGTTTTCGTCAGCATTTGAACGATCAAACAGCTACTGACTGACCGTGACACGGTTAGCTTTTTGCTCATCTGTCAAAAGACGTGGCACAAATTTTGCAGCAACACGATGCATCTCAAGTTTTTCAGTCAAAACTGTGTGGCACAAACTTTTACTGATGCCTACTTCTTCAGAAACTTCACGGACAGTTAGGCGGCGATTTTCATAAATCACAGCACTCACTTTCTCAACATGATCATCGTCCGTTGATGTGGAAGGCTGTCCAGGTCTGGGATCGTCTTCGGTGGACGTTCTGCCCGATTTGAAATGTTGGCACCATTCGTAACATTGTGTATGGCTTATACAATCCTCTCCATAAGCTTGCTTCCACATCTGAAAAGTCTCTGTAAAAAGTTTTGCCAATTTGAAACAGAATTTCACGCGAACACGTTGCTCTTCAAGGTCCTTCATGTTTCAACTTGCAAAAATCGCAAAAGGCACAAGAGACAGGTTCAGTCTATGGCATGTACTCGATGACTAATTGACGTGGCGTGATCGGGCAGGTGTCTGGTTAAAGTTTAAGGTCTCCGCTACACAACGCTATTGTCGCGAGTCACCTGTGTTGGCGCCCTATTTAACGAGTTATTTCTTTTTGGACAGACTATGTATAATGGAAAAACATGTTTTACCATTCCTTTCTCCTCTCTCCCACATGCGCGCACGCACACACACACACATACATACACACTCTCACTCACATCATGCAGCTGAGCGCTTCGGAAGCCGCCAATTGTGCATCTACTCAAGAATCTCCCAGCATTTGATGGAACCCAAAGGTTCATTTCTTTGTTCACAAGAACCCCCCACTGGTCCATATCCTGAGCCAGATCAATCCAATCCATAACATTCCATCCTATCTCTCTCTCTCTCTCTCTCTAAGATCCATTTTAATTCCAACAACCCACTTAAGCATAGTGGTCTCTTTTCTCCTGGCTTTCCCACCAATAACCTATATGCAATCCTCTTTGGTCTCATTCGTGCTATATGCCCTGCCCATCTCATCCTCCATGACTTGATCACTCTAATTATGCCCGGTGAAGTGTACAAATTACGAAACTCCTCATTATGTAGTCTTCTCAAATCTCACATAACTTCATCTCTCTTTGATCCAAATATTCTCCTCAGCACCCTGTTCTCCAACACCCTCAGTCTATGTTCCTCCCTTAAAGTCAGAGACCAAGTTTCGCACCCATACTGAACCAGAGGCAAAATTATAGTTTTATATATATTCTAATTTTTATGTTTTTGGACAGCAGATGAGAAGACATAAGGTTGTAGACTTAATGGTAGCAAGAATTACCTGAATTCAGTCTCTTGTTAATTTCTTCTTGAATCAAGTTGACATCACTGTTGTTCCCAAATATCTGAACTGTGTCATATTTTGAAAACATTTATTTGCTATGTCATGATTTTGCCCTGCATTCTGGTGACGAGACAGCAACATACCTGTATTGTTTCCTCTGTGTTCACTTCTAGACCAACCTCTTTACTAGCATCAATTAAAGTTTTTGTGTTTTTCTTTATTGTATCTGTTATATCCCAGTAGATTCACATCACCAGCATAGACCAGCAGCTGACATGAAGTACAAAAATTTTATAAGCATATTATACATGATACAAATCAGCAAAATCTCTGACTTCACCTATTAACATAAACAGATCATACTGAATGAATGAAATAACAAGAGTACAGAAATTACAAATTTATGATGTTACACATTAACAAGAACTGAATTAAACTATATTCCTATCGTGGCACTAAAACTTGTACTTTATATGAAGCTCAAATTTACCTGTACTGACCATGTGTCAAATTGCGAATGTGTGCAGTCCAGCTGTCCATATGTTGCATTTTTTAGATACTAATACTGTACTTCTACCCTCAAGCTAAAATCTGGCCACATGCTGCCAGCCCCCATGTACTAAGGGGTTTAAAAACAATGTAAAATGCCATAAAGTTTATCAAAAAAGTGCTCACTGTGCAAACATTAATATATATTGAATTAATAATGATATCAAACTTTCAATTTGTATTTTTATGATTAAGAAATAACAAAATATATCAGAAAAATACTTTATGTATCTATGCTATGATTTGATTATTTATCCAATCCTTTTGGCATTTGGGTAAAAGGATTTCAAGACTGATGTATTTAATGATGTGACTTGTTCAAGTATTACCGTTGCAGCAATTATTAATGCCAAATAAAATGAATGAATGAATGAATGAGCAGAATGTAATTATCTAAGTAGCATAATATTCATACTGTTGATAAACTGCCACAGTATTTGCTAATATGAAAAAGTAAGACAATTCCAATTTGGGAGTAATCTTAAAATTAATTTAATTTTCATAACAGTTACATCCGTCTTACTGTAATGACATGAAATTTTAAGTATAAAATAATAACAAAATTGTTCAACTTTGTCATACTGAATTTATGTACTTACAGCGAGTTCCGACAAGATTCCAAAAATAATCTTACAATATGAACAAAAAGAAAAAGAGAGAGATGTACAGGAAGACCTCTGATGGGATGGAACGACTATTTGGTAATATCCATAATGGGTCTCAATAGGCCTGATTCTAAGAAGGATGAAGATAAAGAAGTCATGCTTTTGAAATGATAAAACTTATGTTTGTAAAGTGATTAAAAACTTATCTATTTAATGCATTAAATGTTTAAAATTTCTGATATGGGCATTGCCACTGTGCTGTCGAGTTTTCCATGAGCAGTCACTTCAAGATGGACCCTACCATTATGGAACATAAGTTCATTGCTGCCATCACAAAAGTCCATCACTGGACTCTACACTGGGCCAATAATACGCATGACAATTGTTCATAGAAAAAAGATTGCGAGGATGGTATGTGATCAGACTGGCTCAGGTTTGTGTCAAGAGTGGGCTTTGGTATTACTGATGCTTAAACTTCAGGTCCTACTACCAGTGCATTAAGGTAGTTTTAGTTAATTACACATTTCATGATGGGAGCACAGGCAGCTCAGTCAGTTTAGTGACTAGGTTACAGGCTGAATGACCAAGAGGTCTAGGTTTGATTCCTAGTAGATGCAGGAGATTCTTCTGGGGCTCTGAGGCCCATCTGGCCTCATACATAATGGGCACCAGGGGCTGTTTCCCAGAGGATAAAGTCACAGGGGCCAAGGGTAACAATGGCAAAGCTCCACTCCCTTGTATGTTTTAATGGCTTGGTGTTTAGTTAATTAAGCTCAGTGATAATATTACCTTAACCTTTAATGTGCGAAGTGCCCCGATCGGGCCAGTGATGAGTATGGTCGTCGTGGCCAAAGTACCACGATTTGGCCAGTCAGGCATTTAAACTCCGCTAGAGGAAGTGTGTGCCCACACCACTAGTAGAAGTGCATGCACAGTCCTAAATATTTATTTTTAAATGTAGTAATTTCCAGACAGACTTGAGTAAAACCCTAATAGAGGAATTAAAATGACACCTAAGTGAACAACAAAAAAGAGTATATGCATGAGTTATGCCCAAACTCATCCACGAGCCAGTATTTTTATTGCAGATTCTGCAGATTAATGTGTTAAAAATATATAGTAAAATTTGATGTACATACCTTTCATTGTTGTTATCTGCTTGATTTATGTATGGCCTGAAATGAAACTACAGTATTCGATTTCACTATTAATGCACAGAAAATAGATCACACTCTGTATCTCAGCCACAATCCAACTGTCTGTTCATCACCATAGAAGGGGCAATAATCTCTTGCAGCTATAATGGAAGGTCTTAGAACTGAAGAAGGGACCGTTGAGTTGTTCCCTCTAGCTTTTTCTTGAATAGTCATGCTTTCATTCTTGTCCTTTAGTCAAAAGATTAAAAAATCTGAAGAGTGTAACAAAAATGTAAAATTTGCCAGCAGAGAATCAAACGATTTTGTTGCTTCCATCTGTTTTATGACACCAGGAACTGCTAAAATATGTCCAGTGTTACAAGCAGGATTGAATTTATAATAAAGAATAACTCTGTGAAAAACAGGGAAGCCATTTTACCATATTCATCAAAAAAAAAAAAAAGATACAACTTTTTGTATAAAAATTTTCAAATATTCTGTTATAATATGTGATACTATTCTTTGCTGATATAAACAAAGTGAATTCCATCCATTTATCATAAAAATTGTGTTAGATACAGCATTTTTAAACACAACGTTTAAAATTGTTTAATTAAGTGCCCTAACAGGAACAGACATTTAAACACAGAGTAGCAATAGGCATTTAAATGCACACCAGCAGTGGCCATTTAAATAAACTCTGGCCAGCTCAAGTTTACCACCATTTCAAAGTCTGGTGTTTAAAGGTTAACATATCTTCATTACAGGATTTTAAAATTAAACTGTATGGAATTTAAAAGCCACTGTTCTGGAAATAAAGGATTAAATATATGTTCATGTCACTTGACCAAAATGATTAAAAAATCTTATCACAAATGTTCAAAAATCGAAAATGCAGTAAGTTTAAATACTTGGGTATTATGTAATGAAGAGCAGAATACATTTATGAATCACACAGTTATTCTTTTATCTTGCAATGCAGCCATCATGGGCAGTTTCACCCATCAAAATTGGATGGATTTCCAAGTTTTTCATATACAGTTAGTGTCTCCATCATCAGGGACTGATATGTTGGAAATCCATTCCCTATTGACATGGATAATTGCCTAACACTTCACTGCATTCACTTTTGATTACCTAAAATAATATACACTTATTATTTTCTTGCCTATGTGATTTGATACATAAATTATAATTTTGGTACTAAAACTGGTGGAGGAACAGAGATTGAGGGCGTAAAAGAACAAATTCATAAACTGCATTTCAGCAAAACAGAATGTGAGGGTAGGATCCCATAGTAAGATAAAGATGTTCCTGTGCTAACTAATTAAGCAATACACCATAAAGTTGTAGGGAGGAATAGATGTATAGATCAACATTTTTTTACCCTGACCTCTTTACTCCCAGGAAAAGAGCCCCTTGTACACATTGGCTAGGAGGTTGGGTGGACCCCAGAGCTGGTCTCAATGACATGGAGAAAATTCTTGACCCTACTGGGAATCAAACTCTGACCCCTTGGTCATCCAGTCCGTAGCCAGTTGCTATACTGACTATGCTATCCTGTCAGGATCCAACAGGGGCAATAATAAAACTCTAATATTCTTTGAGAACGGAATTTCTTGAAATGCTGAATAACTGTTAGTTGTTTAGAGAATGATGAAGTAGCATATGATGTAAAGTGGAACTTGTATAAATGTTCAATCTTACAGTTAAACTTGAGACATATGCAGATGAATCTTACCATGCAAACCCTGAGTTTAAAATCACAGAGTTCTTATTATTTTAAGCAATATATACATGAACTACAATTAAAAAAAAAGAGACAAATGTCCCTAAAGAAGAAGCATAGTGGATGTGATAAAACTCAACTGACCTAACATGTAACGGAATTCAGACATTTCACATAAATAAAAATGTTTAATTATTAGCAATCCAAAATTATACACACATTACAGACAAACCACAATGTATGTGCAGAATGAAAATTACAGGAAATTGACACAACTAAGAAGTATGCACCACAGAAGTGAGCAAATGTCTAGCATTGGTTGCAAGCACCTTATGTTATTGTGGTATTTGCAACTGACATCTTTTCTCGAGTGGAATCTCTGGCAGTAAACAAAGAGTTTTTTACATGTCTCCACAGAGATGCCCATTTGATGTAGGGTGTGGGAACTCTCAAAACCATTGTACTGGAACTCCCTGACCATACAAGTAGTGCCAAATGATAGGGGGTAACATCACAAAAGGCTTAAACTGAAATAACTGTCTACTATTAATGAGTATTAATGCACCCCTAATATTAATTTAAAATTTAATTAAAATGAATACATATAGTCCAGGCAGCACAGATACCAATGTTGGTATGTGATGGGCTACAGACTGAATGGCCTGGGTTCAATTTCTAGCAGGGGCAAGAGATTTTTCTCTATTCCGCAGCACCCAGACTGGATTTGAGGCTCATACAGCCTTCTATCACATTGGTACCACGGAGTTATTTCCCTGAGGAATAAAGCACCAGGGGAGCGAAGCTCACAACGCATTTCCATCTAGTGCTGAGGTTAATAATGGTGGAGCTATACCTCCACTCCTCATACATCTTCATAGTGTGGTGCTTAATTAGTTTAGCATAGGGACAAGTTTACCTTTCACCTTATATACAGTTCAGGGGCACACGGTAGTGTAGTTGGTTCAGGCACTATGCAACAAGCCAGAAGGTTGTGGGTTTGATTTCCCATTTTATGATTGGATTTTTCAATTAACCTAATCCTTCCAACTGCACTACAGCCCTGAGGTCAACTCAGACTCGACAGAAATGAGTAACAAGAATCTTCCTGGGAGTAAAGGGCGGCAGGCACATAAGGCTGACAACCTCATCGCCATCTGTGAGCTGATGTTCTTGAAAATGTGGCAGCCTTGACCTCTCATAATTCTATGGGCCTCCACGGCCTGTTATAGGGATAGCTTTACCTTTATCAAATATATAGTCCTGCATCTTGAATTTATGGTATTGTACATTGCTTCTACTAATTTGAGTTTCAGGTCTGTGAACTTCTACTGGAATACACTGCATTGAATCCCAGAAGACTGTACTTTTCACGGTCACCACTGTGTGGACCTCAAATTCAAAGAATTTCCAGTGGTTTGTAATATATATTTAATTCTGGATAAATATGAGGAATGTGTACAAAGGTCTGTCTAAATAAAGGAAAATATTTTTGTGGCTGTAACCAGTACAACTAAGCCTCAGCCACTGAATATTTCAAGGCACCATTAAGCAAGAAAACAAAACCACCCCCATATGCAACTTGTTCTGTATTGCAAACTTATATAACAGGAAATTACATGAAAATTATATATATACATATATAAAAGAGGAACCATTTCTTTACCCAGAAAGGGACAGATCATATGTAATGTTACTTACAAGAACACAACATTCTTTCTCATGCTTACTGAGTTTAAGCAAAGCAGTGAATTCAGTACCACATTTTTGGCACTTGTAGTTCTTCTCATGTGTCCGCACATGTCTGCTTAGGATAACGCGTGAGCTGAAGCCCTTGGAACAGACTTCACACTTGAAAGGACGTGTATGAAGTCTCACATGGTTGTAAAGCTGTACAGATGTTCTGAATAACTTATGGCAGTGAGTACAGTCGAATGTCTTCACATCCACATGAATGAGCTTATGATTTCGCAGCGTTGACTTGCATGTGAATGCCGCTCCACAGATGTTACAACCATACGGTTTCTCACCTGTATGGCTACGCAAATGGACATTCAGGAAGTAGCCCTGACGGAATGCCTTTCCACATATCTCACACACATGGGGTTTCTCACCTGTGTGTCCCCTCTCATGACGCTTCACTTCAAATGTGTCTGCAAATCGTTTATCGCAGTATCCACAAGGGTAAGGCTTGACTTCCCAGTGGATTTTTGAATGGGCCTTGAGAGCACTACCATCAAAGAACTTCTTTCCACACACAGTGCACAGACATCGGCGTACCTTCAGGTGGATGCGATCCACATGTCGCTGGAGCTCTCCTTCGGACGAACACAGTTTATCACACTGCTCACACTTGATGGCTTTTGTTGAAGCTTCTCCAGATGCTTCATGTTGAACGATGACGTGTCTTCTGAGATGGCCAGCATTCTTATAGTGTTTACCACAGACACCACAAGGTACAGACTTTGCAATAATTTTTAGAATTGATGGAGTCTTATCTACTTCATGCACGCTCAGAAGGTGTCGAATGTAGGCACTTTTGGTGATGAAATGTTTCTGGCACAAAGGGCATGCCAGTGGCCAATGTTTCCGGTCCAGGTGCACATATTTATGAATGTCATACTTGCTCTGCTTCTCAAACTGCTTGCCGCACAGATGGCAATCAATTCTATTAGTTTCACTTACTTTATTGCAAAAGAGGACAGTGTCTTTGGTTTCTTTGGTTAAAGGTTTTGGCAGGATCCAACGAAGTCGAGTTTTGGGGCAAAATTTTGGAGCACAGATTTCTTTAGGCCTTCCTTCTCTCAGCTCTATGTGTTGACCATTGAAAGAATCAAGTACAGCATTGTCTGCATGTTTTCCAAATGAATCTCCGTTACTTCCCTCGATAACAATGTATTTTATTCCATGAACGTTTAATGCATGTTCTTCAAGAAAATCCATTGTTTTTAAATTGATTCCACACATTCCACAGGTATACTGTGATTCATCACTTGCACTAGTCATAGCCTTGCTGGACACTTCCATGTTGCCTTCTTTTGTCTCTTGGTCATTATCTACTGCAAATGTTGGGGAATAATCTGTTGTCACATGGTTAACTGAATGTAAATTGTTTGCATTATTTAAACACTCCTGCATTTGTTCCATACATTCCTGTATCTGCACCTGAACATCATTTTGAAGATGTTCATTATAATGCTCCACATTTGTCACATTACACTCTAACATGTTTGCCTCTTCGCATTCTATCACACTGGCCACTTCACACTCTGTCACAATGACCATTTCACCTTCTGTAATATTGCAAGAACTTATGGTTTCTGCTGCAATTTCCACTTGCCCATCATTTTTTATTATATCATTCTCAAAGTTTTCTCCAATCGCGTAAATTTTCTCCTTTTCCTCATGTTCTTCACATTGTATATCGTGTGCATTTAAATGCAGTATTAATTTCTCTAGTCCAGTACTACTATGGTCGCACAGAGGACATTGCAAGAAACCGGCAGCATAATGAGTTAAATGTTCCTTTAGTTCGCTAAAGGACTGAAGTTCGTGCTTACAGCACAGCGGGCAATTTATACACACCATAACTAGCGATAATTTTTTACTTCACTTTCTAGATAAATATGATAGCTATATATACACTTAACCTCACATTTCCTCAGGATCCGTACGAACGAACTCATCATATAACTCCTTACTACAGATTGTTTGAAACATACCAACCGATTATTATAATATTTATGTGGGTACATACACATATTTCTTTAACACCACAATGTCAAATCGACTGATTATAACACAGATCAAGAGATGAAAACAGTATAAGCCTCTTGCCACAAACTACAAATACCTCGTGCACAGGAAATCACATAAATTTGTAGTCTAACTTAAATTTTATATTAAAAACATTCTGTATGATTAGTATGTGGTGTAAATAGTAGGTTTAAATTGTTCTGAAAATGTCATTTACAGTGACTATAACAATTCGTAGTACCTATACTACATCACAATCAGAGCGCTTAAAACAAAACTGAAGTCGTCAATATACTGCGCCATCTTACAACGGAAAAGCAAAACATACCGTCACGTGAGAATAGTCAGATTCTATTAAAACGGTCAAGGGTCTTCATAAATATTGTGAAAAAAAAGTTGTTTGTTTCTACACCTTCATTCGCTTCAGGGTTCTGAGTTCGATGCCGCACGTTAAGGTGTGATAGTGAGAGTTTAAGCATGAAGGAATGAACAAATGACAATCTTGGCCGGTACTATGTTGCCGTACTTTTATAAACCAGAACAGTTTCATGATTTGAAAAAGAATTATTCAAAATTGTAATCGAATGTGTTATTGCTAGCAATGTCAGGGACTGCTGTTCAGAGTCACAGATTTTAAGATAATAGTTTAAGGTAGAGCACTTACAAGTAACTCCATGGAATAGATATCCCGTCCTGGGAAGCCGATATTTATTCGTTTAGGCAGTCAAGAAATTTGTCAGATTTTACTCGTATTTCATGTCCATACTCACTCCACATGAAACATAACTTGAATCAGATGATTGTTGTCTCCGAAATAGTCTCTCACATTCGGGTTTTACAGCTGAATTTCTTTTATGATTCTCTTTCTCTCCCATCTGCATTAATTGGATAATCCTAATGATGTCTGGTGAACAGTATCATTATGAAGCTCTTCATTAGGTACGTCCTTTAGACCCCTGTCACTTCATATCTCTTTGATCCAAAACTTCTACTGAGTTCCCCTGTTCGTACGAGAGACCGATCATCATACTGAGTCCTGGATCTTCCGCGCTGGGTGGGGGCCTAACAACTCGCAGTTTACCAAATGTTACCCAGATTGCTTGTCGTTGGTTCAAAGGCCTAAGTCACACTGTAACCGAAATACTATTCTCTCTTTCCAATCTTTCCTCCTCCCTTCTACCAACCATATTTTACCCTTCCTCCTCATTATCATCATCATCATCATCATCATCATCATAATCATAATCTTTCCTCCTTCTTCCTTTGTTTACTTCTTCTCCTTTTCGTTATTCGTCTCCTACATCGCCTGCCTTCTATTTACTGATCTGTCATCATTATAATCGTCTGTCGTCCTCGTCTCTTCAGTACGTCAGTGACATTTTAAAATACGTCATAACCACAGTTTTCAACTCTACCATTGATAACATAGGGAGGCACGGGGTGGCATACTTGGCTGAGGCACTATGCTACAAGCCGGAAGGTCGCGGGTTAGATTCCCAATGAAGTCACTGAATTTTTCAATTGAACTGATCTTTCCATCCGTTCTGTGGCCTTGGGTTTCACTTAGCCTCTAACGAAAATGAGTTCCAGGAATCTTCCTGGAGGTAAAGGCCTTCCGGCGCGTAAGGCTGACAACTTCACCGCCGTCTGTGAGCCGATTGTCTAGAAAATGTGGGAGCCTCGACGTCTCACAACCCTATGGACCTCCTAGGGCTGTGAGAGAGATAGCTTTACTTTCAGCATTGATAACATTAAGAAACTTAGGGTAAGGTGGAAGAAAACGTAACTTTCTATGAAGAGTAGGGTCTTCTGAATTGTAATGCCGTGTAGATCGGAGAAAGACCGACGTTTCGGAGGAGTATATCGCCTTCAGTTTGAGGGTCGAAGAGTAAGCTAAGCAAGGAAATTGCAGAATCAGGTGGAAAGTTGAAGTTGGAGGTGATGTGATCTCCAAAACGTCTGATTTTCTGAGAAGTACACAGCGTTACAATACGGACGATCATACTCTTCATAGTCACGGCCGTGACAACCTTGTATCCAGTCAGCTTCGTAAATCGATTCTGATTAGCTGGTTCCAAACCTGGACAAAACAATTTTCCATCTCGTCAAAATTTGCGTCTTGTTTTCTTACTTTCGTATTTACTTCGTGTTCTTATAATCTAGCAAACACCCTGTGAAGATTTCATGTTTTATTAGCGAATATAAGTTTTTCTCACCAAAATTATGTCTTTATTTCAAACTGCATTTGTCATGTTAATACTGACTGTAAGTAAAAGTAAAGTTATCCCTGTAACAGGCCGTGAAGGCCCATAGGGCTGTGAGAGGTTGAGGGTCCCACATTATCTAGACAATCGGCTCAAAGATGGCGGTAAAGTTGTCAGCCTTACTCGCCGGCCGCGCTTTAATTAATTCCTGGTACTCATTTCTGTTAGAGGCCGCGTCGACCCCAGTGCCATAGTGCGGCTGGAAGGATTAGGTCAACTGAAAAAATCCAACGACCTCATCGGGATTTGAACCCGTGACCTTCCGGCTTGTAGCATAGCCCCTGAACTAACTACGCTACCGTTCAAGTGACTAGACTGCTGTTATAGCAGGAGCTACTAATGATAGGGCATGATGTGCTGTACTGAGCCTGGACTAATAAAGGCCCTGTATATGTTGTGTGTACATAATTTAATAACATGCAAAATGTAAACTGTACATACTGCCAACAGACTTACTACTGCTGACTGTGACTCTGGCAAACGACAGACCCGTCCTCTCGTCAAAGAGAGCGCCCCACATCAACAAGCATGCAACTGTTTAACAATAATAAGGATCTGGTCTTAAGCCCACATGCGTGCTTTATTCAAAGAGAGGCTGGCCGACTGACCGTTGGTCGTAACATAACTATGACTTTGTGATTAGTCAGTTCTCGATAGGAGACAGCCAGGGACGGCCAGGGAAGTTCATAGAAGACCTGGGAAGACTTAACTTATGAACTGAAGTCTTTGTGTGTTATACTTACAATAATACTGAAGGTGTTGCAATTATTTGTAGTTACAGCTAGTGAGGATCCAATAAACCGATTCACCGATCCAAACACGTGACTTAGTCACTGTGACAGCGACCTCCGTAGTCTAGAGGTAACGTTCCCACCTCATGACTCGTAGTACGCGGGTTCAAAACCGGCGGAGGTCGTGGAATTTTTAAGGGCGGAAAAATTCAGGGAACAAGTCCTCCGGGAGGGACTTTAAGCTGTGGGTCCCATGTCGTAGCTTTACGGCACGTAAAAGAACCTCATATCTCCTAAGGAGGTCACTGAGCAAAATTCAAGGACATTTCCCGCCCAGCAGTAGTCTCTAACCCCTCTGATAAAGGGGGGAAGCATTATAGATAACGCTAAGCCAGTAGAGGCCGAACTCGCTGGCTTGGTCGGGATTGATGGTAAGCATCAGTATCGGTAGGGTATAGAGACTGGTAGAATATCATAGAGAGAAGCACAATGGACCAATACTGGTCTAAGTGCATGGGGAAACCCACCCTCTCCAATAACTAACTAACTAACTAACTAGTCACTGTGACACGTGAAAATCTTTCACAAGTCTGAAAGACATATGCAAAAGACAAACACATCTCCATTAGACCTGTACGTTTTGCTTCGCGCTGTCTGAAAAATAATGCGTACAAATTCATACTTACCTCGAAGAAGTGTCTTCTTCTCTCTGCTAACAGACCCCCGAAATGCCACCTGTTCTGGGTATATTTGTGACGGCAATTAAATATGTAAAGGAAAGTTCAAGAAGTGGATGGAAACTCCAATTATACGCACGAGGTGGTAAGTAACTTCATCAATATTTTATTAATCCCAGTTTCAATACATGTGTGGCAAGTAGGATGTCGTGACGAAAGTAAAAATCTAACACAAAAGTGAACAGTGAAAAGGTAGCATCTTAGCCAACAATTAAAGTTAATTAGTTGGAAACTTGCGTGTTTTTTTAATACTATTAAGAGTATTGATTTAACATCCTTGAAGTTTCAGGGCCGGCGACCAAAGAATCGGGGTTTGATTTCCAAGACGGACAAGAGACTTCTTCACTATACAGTGTCCAGACCGACCCTGGGGCTCAGCCAGCCTCCTGACCAGTAGATACCAAAGACTCTTTCCTCGGAGGTAAAGAGGCCGGGGAATAAATGCGATCATAAAATGCCGAGGTTAAGAATGCTGGAGCTACACCTGTGTACCATCCCCCTCATATTCTTCACGGCGTGGTGCTTATTTAAGCACATGTACGAAGTCACCTTTACGTTTAGAGGAATTCTCCTCTTACTGCATACCAGATACGACGGGAGATCTCGAGATGAGTGAGTCTGGAACTTGCTGAGGGGTTCTCAGTGGCAGCTCATGGGTAAGGAGGCCCCCTTTAAAAATTGGAGACGAGGCAGGACACCCGTCTAGACACTTAACTTACACCAGACCTGAGACAACCATGGCAGTGACTTCATTTAGTGTCTTCTGGAATGTGACGCTGTGTAGTCTGGTTTGGTACGACGTTAAGCATGATTCGGAGGGACCTGCTGCCTCCATCTTCAGGGTAGATTAGGCTTCTCCGAAACGGTGTGACTTTCTTACAGGCACTGTTGTCTCCTGAAGGTGGAGGAAGCTGGTTCCTCTTAATGTATTGCTAACGTTCCAACAATCACTCTTCTGCCCTCAAAATAGAGGCAACATGTTCCTCTGAAACGCTGATAATGTTCTACCAGACTACACAACGTCATATCGTGGTACAACGTAAGATAGTCGCGACGAGACAAACCGGAATACAAGAGTATCTGTTCTAGTGTCAGCATTCCCTTACCACTCTAGACCTATGTCACTTGTTAAGCTATCCATGTAACAGGCCGTGGAGGTCCATACGGTTGTGAGACGTCGAGGCTTCCAATATTTTCTCTAGACAATCGGCTCACAGATAGCTTGAGGATGCCAGCATTACGCGTCGACCGTCCTTTATCCATAGGAAAATTCCTGGTACTAATTTCTCTTAGAGGCTGCGTCGAACCCAAAGCCAAAGTGCGGCTGGAAGGATTAGGTCAATTGAAAATGCCAATGACCTCATCTGGATTCGATCCCGCGATCTACCGGCTTGTAGCTATCGCATGTCCCCCATTTCTCATGAATAAAATTCAATAAAAGTAATGACCATTATGGGGAGTCGAGCAGTAGGGAACACACAGATGTGCGGATGGCTGCCGATTATAGCGAAAGGGATATGTTACAGGCTGGTATTTCGTTGTATTTTGTTGTTTATTTCACGGTGTTGTCAGTATCTCGACTACACAGCGTCGAAT